ACTCAGGCACGAGCCCTAAATTACTTTTTTGGATGAGTGCTGACATCTACCATTCACCCTTTAACTCGTACAAAGAGCATGATTCTATTTGCCCCTCTTCTTCTCTCTCTCTCCCTCCACTCTATTTATTTCTCTGTCACTCCTTTTTTTCTGTTTCTCTCTGAGCCTACAAACACACATTCACGCTTCTCTCCATATGGGCTTTAATTTGCCATTGTCCCCCAAGATATTCCTCGCTCAGGCTTGAGATAAAGGGATAATCACTTCAAAGGGAAGCTGGGGGGAGACTGCCCCCTCCCTCCCAGCTGAAAGGAGAAGTGGACAATACGCTAATTGAGAGGGGGAACTGATCACAGGATCTGTTCAAAGGGATGCCTGGCCACGCCCCCTCCTTCCTCCGACGCACTTAATTTTATTAATGTTTATGGTGATGCTACAGTCAAAATTATCACTCAAACCCACCACAGCCTTTGAACTCCCAAATATTGGATTATTTGCAATTATCCACCCTCGCCTCTGTTTTTCTGTGCTATTTTAGCACAAGTGTAGGATTTGAGTGGAGGGAAGGGCAATAAAATGGGCTGTACAGAATGTATTGTTCAGTGTGGGACCATATATCGTGGGCTGTGATATGATGCAAATCCAAAAGTTCTTATGAAAAAGTGACAAAAAAGGAGAACACAGGCCTACTGTTTGACTGATGCAACTAATGATGCATCATCAAAGACTTATACAGTATAATACTAACGTAAAAAGAAAGAAAGAATGTTTGTTCTAACAAACCATTGCTTCGCATTGCATTAATTCCAGTCCTCTGTCTGTTTCCACATATCTTGATGTGACACCTGTACTGACAGCAGTGAAATGCACACTTTCTTTGCACTTTTAATGCAGGCTTTAATTAAAGAGGAGCTTCATTTCCAGTCTGTGGCGATACACCAGGTACCTTTAATTTCTTCCCAACCACAAACTCTCAATTAGCCTCCAGGTCACCCCACTTTATTGGGGCAGCACTTTCGTCCTGTATTGTTCTTTTAAAGCATTTGGATCTTCCTGTGAAATGGGCAGGGCCCCAACAAAGGGGTCAGGGCAGGGTCAACATCAAAAAGTGGCTACTTTACAGCACCCTCTCTCTTTTGTCGCCACCGAACACAAGAGTGACCATTCAAGGGTCAACAGGTGTGGTCTCATGAGCTTAGCATCAAACATCCCAGATAAATTAAAAGGGCACCAACTTTTAGCTGCTTCTTTGGTGATCACAGCAATTTTGGTTATATATATAGCTGAATAGCCTGAATTTCACTTGTCATTAAAAGCAGACATGAACAAAACTTCCTGTCTATCAGCAAAAATGTAACTGTCTGGTGACTCTTTTTTCTCTCACAGTGATATGTGCAGCCTAATTTAATACCAGTGAAGATAACATCTTATCCTGAATGTGAAATATCTCACTTTTAAGACTTGTCCTGCACTTCAAAAATGACATTTTATAACCCCTCTATATGACAATTCTCCTTTCTAATCTGACTTTAAATACGTTAGTTTGCAGATAATGGTTTGGCTACATATTTCATGGTTTTAATTATGTCTCGCTGATCAGCTGAGCGCCTGCATGTCACAGTGCCAGTGCTGCTGACCAGTTTTGTGATTTGGCGTTCCATCTCGCAGACAGCGGGCACTTCCCACTGCAAAGTGTTGGAAGCCTTTTTGTGCATTTTGGGTTTGAGATTGTTTGGATTTGTGGCTGCAATGTTTGTTTTACAAAGATCTCCAGTATAAACAGTGGCTATGAACAACCTTTTCATATTCACACTGTCACACACACACACACCCATGTACACACAAACACAGAACGATAGAAAAAGCGACTGTACTGGCTTCTGTCATATGACTTTGTGATGACACTTTGCAGTGAAACCTTTCTAAAAAAATTAACATCTGAAATGAGCTGGACTCAATCATCAGACAAACAACATCCTGGAAGCAATTGGCAGGATGTCAGTGTAATCAAGTGGACTCCTCTGTTGCAGAAAGAAAACAAATACATTTGCTTCACACACATATTTATAAAAATACTGGAGTATGTTAGAATTACTCAGCAAAATATATCAGAACTAAAATGTACAAGTTGAAAACCTGTCGAGCAACTAAACAGTGAATAATAAGAGTCTGTGGACACTGAACAGTCTTACTGAGCAGTCAGTACTGTCAGTTGATAGTGGATTTGACAGGATAAAATGATGTTACCATAAACGGTGTGTAAAGATTTGAAATAACAGACATAGATGCCCACACAACTATAAATCCACAGGGGAACTGCTACATAGTCATCTTATTTCTCTGTGTAGAACTGAACATGAATGAATCACCACTTGGGGACCTCAGAGAACTTGGATTTCATTAGTTCTCCTGTCCTGTATCATCATGAGAGTTTTGTGAATTTGAGTCCTCTGACTTATATAATTATATTCTCCTTTAAAGTTGATTTTCAACATCAAAGGGACAATATAGTCTTTGAAGTACCATGGGATTGGATCACTGTCTAACCCACTCTTTAAGATTCTGTCACAATGACATTAGGAAGTCGTGTGAATTAAAAGACTAGAGAACAGCTCTTGCCTTTGCTCTCTGTCCAATTTCAATCAAAATGTCATGCTGTGCCATTTTCCCTGAACGTGGAACTGGCAAGTGTGTTAGGCTGACATGTTTGTGGCTAAAAGCCTGTGACTAATATGTAAATTTTTGACTGTTACACTCTACAATATTATCAGTTCAAGGCGGTAACTCCTTGAATCATTGCGTCTATTCTTTAGAATTATATCCTTTACTTAAGAAATACTCCCTCTGCATTGCACATCAATACAGAAATATCTCGGTGTACAACAGGAGACAGATACATCCCGCAGTGAGCTGTGAAAGTAAATCCTAACATAACGACTTTCCTCGGCGAGATTAGGCGAACCCACTCACTCCTGTCACTTGGAGAGACCGCAAGCCAACAAAATGGTCGTTTTGTTTGGTTGCTGCTGAAACTTTGTGTAGTAACAGACGGTCTGAAAGAATAAGATTCTTGGCGCTGTGCACGGATCACTTGTGACGCTCCAAAGCCTCCGGGAGTTGGCTCTAGATTGCCTGTCTTTGATAAGGTCTTGGCATACAAGTAAATCCCTTCACTATCCACAGAAGTTCATTAAACATTACTGAATGACTAAAGGCATTAGCTGAGGGGTGGGTAAACAAAATAGGTATATAAGCAGCGATCCTCTGTTCCTTTTTACATCTTCCAAGTTCACTTTATTTTGTTTTATGCTGTTAGTTATTGCGAAGATGGGACGCTGCGTTTTATGTATCTTCCGGGACCAGGCCAGCGGTTCTTTACTTTGAAGTCCACGTTAAACGCGCAGACCAGCTGGTTTAGAGGATTTCTAGCGCCTGCCCGGATTTCTTGAAACACGACCTGGAGAGAACAAGTCGTGAGCAAAAACGGGTTTCTCTTTCACCCGCGGCTTCATTAAAACTGTCCAATGTGAAAGGACACTGCGGAGCGCAGAGGAACGCCGGAGCGGTTGCAGGCACAGCTTGTTGTTGGACTACTTTACTTTCACGTCCCCTAATCGGGGAGGCTGCGGTACATGGATGGTAAGTTGTAGGAAAGCTGTTCCACAGACCCCCCTCTCTTGGCCGCTTTGATGTGCTGCTGCTGAGCTTTGAAGTTGAGAAATGCGGGCTATGTTTCTTGTTTGTGGGCGAGAAATACGGCGAGATAGATAAGAGGCTTATGTGTGTGTGTATAATAAATGTATGAATGTGTAGCCCAGATATAAAAAAAAACGAATATTTGTCGGGCGGTGCGTCTTCTAGCTGGGAAAAAATGGGATGTATTCTTTAGTGAGGACCCCCTCACACGCCTTCTCCACATTTTGACACCCCCAGTGATCTACATAGGAGCTGAGCCTGCCTACTCTGAGGTCAGTTGTTGAATGGGACAGGGTACATTAAACTACAGCGCTTGTTTTCCAGCGAGGTATAGGACGCATGTGGCACGTACGGCGCAGGCTTTCACTAGACTGTTTTGGCTTTTTTTTTAAATGCTGGATTACTGTTTGGAGAGTTTTGGACTGTGTTTACTAAAAATGGACTAACAGTTCAACTTTTTGAACGGGTTTTATTGTGGTTGGATCGGTTCTGCAATGGTATGTTGTTTTACGCACGTTTATTCAGCTTGTATCCGTTTGATGATAGAACTGGTTACATTGTGTTGCAGTTACACTGCCCGTGTGTAACAGCCTGCCACACATTATGACGCTGTAGTTGTGTGTCTTTTACGGTAACACTGTTGCGGTCTATAGTTTTGGCGCTGTGGCTCCGATTAGAGCCGCTCGTCTTTCTGTCCGGTGTGTAGTTCAGACACGTTGTCGGAGCTGTGGTTTTAAATATTGTGCTGTAATAGCCTTCTTGGGTAGATATTAAGGCGAATGATCACTTGCATTTACGCATGAGTTGCTGGCTTTTCCCGCGGGGCTTTTTTAATCTTTCTTCCCTTTCAACGTTGAAGGTAATTGCGGTGCAGATCAGATGCAGTTCTACTCGCCTGAGCATTTCTAGGAAAGCGAGGACAAGTGTGAGCTCCGAGTGGAAACGAGTCTGTGTGTGAGTGACAGGGGTAGAGTTCTGTCGTCCGAAACACACTGGGAATTAATTAAAGTTGAAACCTGTGACATGAGCTTGTTAGGAAAACACGTGTAAGCCACAGTTGTGAGATTTTGGTGAAGAGGGAGACTGTGCAAGATAGTTATTCTTGTAAAATGTTTTTTTTTTATGTGACAGATCAGTGCATGTTCAGAATGCAGGCTGCAGTTGATCTCTCATTTAGATTATAAATAGATAAACGAAGCGAAAACAAGCCTTTCATATTTCCTTTCTCTGTGAACCGGGCGAGGGGTTTTGAAAGG